CCTGAGTTCTTCATCTGTGCCTGGGAGAATTTCGTTGTTAAGATTGTCAAGTTGCTCTTGAAGTGACTTTTGTTCGTCTTCTAGAGCCTTGTTCTCGTTTTCTGTCTTCTCCTTCTTGGCCTCGTGATCTGCAGCGACTTGCTTGAGTTGGTCCTTGAGGTTTTGGATCTCTTCGGCTAATTTGTCCTTTTGATCTTCTGATTTCTTGAGATCATCGTCTTTCTCTTTACGGAGTTGGTCAATGTTCTTCTTGAGCTCTGCAATTTCATCTTCAAGCTTCTTGATCTGTTCATTCTGCTTGTTGTCAATTGCTTGGACAGCTGCAAGATCTGAATCTAACTTGTCCTTCTCTTCTGCAAGCTTGGCTGCTTCGGCCTTCTTCTCATCAAGGTGCTCCTTGATTTCGTTGGCCTTTTGTTCGGTTTGCTCGTTCTGAGCCTTTGTATTTGCAATTTGATCGTTAAGTTTCTGTATTTCGTTTTCGTTGTCTTTGTTTTGTTTCTGTCCTTCTGCCTGTAATTTGGCAATCTCAGCACGAAGGTCGGATAAGACCTTATTCTGCTGAGCAAGAGCAGACTGGTTGTTCTTATTGGTCTCATCAATTTCCTTCTCAAGTTGAGCTTTCTTCTTACGAAGCTCTTCGAGTTCTTTCTCAAGTTCATTGATGTCATCTATTGGGATTGCGTTCTTTTCTTCAGTAAGTCGGGCGATTTCGTTCTTAAGAGCCTCAATATCGGCTTGTAATTCGTTAACTTTAGCGTCATGTGCTTGTTTGGCTTGTTGATAATCTTGAACTGCTGCAACTAACTTATCCTGAAGATCCTGCTTCTGTTTCATGACATCATCGAGCTTTCCTGATGCCTCTTGTTCTTCCTTGTCAAGGGCATCTTTCTGCTTTTCAAGATCATTGAGCTGATTCTGAAGTTCTTGGATGGCTTTGGTATGGGCTTCTTGTTCTGCGTTGATCTGGTCACGAAGCTTGGCGATTTCAGCTTTCTTATCGACAATTTGCTTCTTGAGATCTTCGAGTTCGGCTTGCTGCTTGGCAGCTGCGGCCTGAGCAGCCTTGGTAAGCTTGGCCTGGTATGCCTGAGCAAGGTTGAGCTTGTTCTTAAGCTCAGCAAGCTTATCGGTGTCAGAATCATCTGGTGATCTTGTACTAGCTTCGAATTCTTGGTTTTCTTTCTCGACTTGAGCAAGTTGATTGGTAACATCAATAAGCTCAGCCTTAGTCTTCTCGGCCTCCGCAGAAAGTTGCTTTCTTCGATCTTGTAAAGCATCACGTTCTTGTGATAGCTTCTGGCGATCATTTGATATTGCTTGCTTGGTCTGATCAAGTTTGGTCTGTGCTGCATCTGTCCTTTCACGCATAGCTTCAAGCTTTTCTTTGAGTTTATTGATCTTCGGTAAGTTCTCGCTTTCGAATTTCCTGTTCTCTGCTTCGATCTCATCATTACGCTGTTGTAATTGCTTAATTTGCTCTTGTAATTTCGCTTCCTCGTCAGGATCTGATTTACGTTTGTCGAGTTTTTCTTGATTCTTAGCGATTTCCTGCATAAGGTCTTGAAGGACACTCTTGAGCTCATCAGTATCTGGGCGAGCGAGCTGAGACTCTTGTTTGGATAAGGTATTCTTAGCATCTTCGATCTGCTTCTGAATTGGAGACTTAAGGATTTCAGAGTCGTTGAGTCCACTGATCGAGCTTCCAAGAGTAAGCTGTGTCTGCTCTTGAAGAGTAGATAACTGAAGATCTTTCTCTGAAAGGAGCTTCTGCAAGTTCTTGATCATTAAATCCTTGCGTACATTATCTTTATGCAATTCCTTAATCATATCATTTGCCTTTTCAACTTGCTGTTGAATAAGTTTAGATGTCTCGCTGTTTTGATCAGCTAAACTTTTATCTACAGCAGCTTGTTTATCCTTTTGAAGCTGCATAATCTCTCTTTTCTGCTTATTGATGGTACGCATCATCTTCCTAATTTTCTGAGTTAACATTGCGGAATCTTCTGAATCTTCTGCAGGCTCTTGAGTCATGGAGACTGTAGATTCTTCACTAGCGGCCAATTGACTCCTTAATTCATCTAATTGGCGTTGTAATTCTTTCTTTTGGTTTTCTAACTCAATTACGCGTTGATTTGTATTTTTAAGGTCATTTAGTGCTGATGTAGCGCGATTTTGAGCTTTTGAAAGAGATTGTGTAAGTTGTTTATTAACTTCTAATAAATTATGTCGATTTTTCATAAGAGATAAACATATTTCTTGTAACTTTTTAGCATTAGATATAGAGCGGATTGAATCTGGTGTGATCACCGTTTTGTCACCTATAAAACTTGGTGAATCCATCGATGAGCACCAATCCACGGAATAGTCATGGGCTCTCAATTTTTGAAAGCATGACGTTTTGTCAGAAAATAAAAATATTCGTTGTACTATAAATAATTGGAATTTCGAGTTAATTTAAACTTTCAATTGAGTAAACTTATCAAAATTAAATGAATTGGTCAATACTTTTGTTGTATTGGTATTATGTCTGAGATATGATAGAATGAAACAACAACTTTTATTTTTAAAAAATGTCTTATCGGCCATTGAGAAATAAAATTGGCGGGCTTTCCCGATTTCAAATTGGCGGTTAGGTTGAAAGGAAATTGATCATGTCCAAAATGCTGGTAACTTGCAGAGATCCACAATAACTCTCAAAATCGTAGGATAATTTATTCTGCTCAATCGATTACTCTTCCAACTTATTCAGTTAATAATCAAATATATACATTTTTACATAGTGTTGTTGTAAACAGAAATTCATCAAAAGTGACACCTCAGAAAAGCTAAAATATTGAATTTTTGGAACTTTTGATAGAGCACGTTTTTAAATATTAATTAAAGTAAATGTATATTTTGTAAAGATTCTTTTTAATAAAAAAATAAAATTTTGAAGAAGAACACAAAATCTTCTGAAAAATAATATCACATAAACTCATATTATTTTCTAATATATAACTATTTTATATAAAAATCAAATTCAATGATCTTAAAAGCGAAGGATAAACCTCAAAATTTACGAATATAATGAGTGGGAATATAATGCTTATCTATCATAAAACCATATGAAATATCAATTTTTGCTTTACGCCTAATTTTTGACGACAATTAGCAAAAAATGTTAAATGTTAACACTCAGTCCATTTGAATATGAAAAATAAAATTGACTTTGATTAAATGTTTTTATTTATCATGCAATTCTTCTTGCGACCAAAGATTTGACTAAAAGTTCAAAAAATAAGATAGCTTAAAAATAATATACGGTAGTGTTTACTAATAGATGAATAGTATATAAATTCTATTAAAATGGATTTGATCCAAAAAAATATAAAACCAAAAATAATTGTTATAATTTAAATGAAGAAGTAATTTAAAACGATTTTATTTATGATCAAATTTTATATATTTTTTTGGATCAAATCCATTTTAATAGAATTTATATACTATTCATCTATTAGTAAACACTACCGTATATTATTTTTTAAGCTATCTTATTTTTTGAACTTTTATTCAAATCTTTGGTCGCAAGAAGAATTGCATGATAAATAAAAACATTTAATCAAAGTCAATTTTATTTTTCATATTCAAATGGACTGAGTGTTAACATTTAACATTTTTTGCTAATTGTCGTCAAAAATTAGGCGTAAAGCAAAAATTGATATTTCATATGGTTTTATGATAGATAAGCATTATATTCCCACTCATTATATTCGTAAATTTTGAGGTTTATCCTTCGCTTTTAAGATCATTGAATTTGATTTTATATAAAATAGTTATATATTAGAAAATAATATGAGTTTATGTGATATTATTTTTCAGAAGATTTCATTCTATATGCCTATGAAAAGTATTCTCAAAACTAACTTTTTCCTAATTATAATTAAATCTAGAATATTGTATTATGCTTAGTATTATTTCATTTTTCTCATTCAATTTAGAATTTACAAATGTCAAAAAATTGAGAGCGGTCACTTTTGATGAATTTCTGTTTATTACAATACAAAAGTAAAATCTTTCAATATCTCTTTTTGAAACGAATTAAGATGAAACCTTAAAACCAAAATTTTGTATTAGTATGAAGGATATCATTAGGTTTTTGATCAAACTATTTGATCATAAAATCTTCGTAATGTAGTGGAAAGTATTAGATTCATCTTAAATTTCAAAATGAATCTATTTCTATTGACAATTATCAATTTTTCAACATTTTTGAGTCTAAAGCTTTAGGATATAGGTAATATCGATATTAACTATGTTAGTAAAGCGGATAAAATGTTGATCAAATTTGATTATAACCTGTTCAATATCTTAGATTCAGATTCAATATATAAACTCCACCATTGATTATACAACAATCATCACTTCTGGTAATAGAATGCTATAACACCTTGGGAGTGTTTATATTACTTGAAGAGCTATAAAAATGAACTGATGTTTTGAAATGGAAATAAAATTTTTGTTCTCCGAAATTTTTGTAAAATAAATCTTCATTTCACATGAATTTCTGTTTATTACAGTATCGAAATGCGAATGGCTGCTCTTTTAACTTTATATATATACCGATCGACATCTTTAAGCATTAGCAAAGTTTCGAATATGAAAATAGATTTGTATCAAGTTGTAGTCAACAAAATACCTCTGTTCCTGCAAAAAACTCAAGGATATTGAAGATCAAAATAATTTGCCATTCGGAGCTTCTGAATTCGATCATTCTTAATTAACCTCGAAGCTAAGAGTAAATTTCCTTCCGATGATACCCCAAATAAAAGTAATAATAAAATATCAACTATTATTTGCATAATCTCGATACCTCTAAGTCTCATGCATGTGTATGAATGATATGTAACTATTTTTTCGCTCTGTCATTATCAACTTTTCCCACTTTACTCAAATATGAGGTTAATTTGAAACATGATCGTGAATTTTGAGAAGATGACCGCATTTTAAAATTTTCATTAATGCACGGAGAACCCGACTATAGATTTAAGGTAGTTGTTATTGGTGCACCTGGATCAGGTAAGACAGCTATTGTTGATCAGCTCATCGAAAAGAAATTCAACGAGAAGCCAAAAACAACAGTTGGCGTTGATTATCGCCCATATCGCGTTGAAGTAGAAGAATTTGTATTACAGCTCGAACTTTGGGATACTGCAGGCCAAGAAGCTTACAAAGCTGTTGCTAAAACATACTTCAGAGATGCAGTTGGTTGTGTCCTTGTTTTTGATGTTACTTCACAGAATTCCTTTGATGAACTTAGCTTTTGGTTAACACAATACCGTGAATTAGCTGATCCAAAGTCAGTCATTATTCTGGTAGGTAATAAAGTTGATTTGGCAAATGATCGTGTTATTTCACAAGAGACAGGTGAAAACTATGCCAAGTCTGGCAACATGCTCTATTATGAAACATCTGCAGTTACAGCTCAGAATATTCAAGATGTTTTCCAGAAGCTCGGTCACGATATTTTCAAACTTGTCCGTGGAGGAGAAATGTTTGTAGATCAGAGTGGCCATGCAACTACAAAGCCACAAGAAAAGAAGACAGCTGCTCAAAGAAGTGTTGAATTAACAGCTGAAATGGAAGGAATGAACTCTGGTTGTGCTTGCTAACTTGCTTAGTAAATAAGTATTATACGATTATCTATCGTAATTAATTCACAAAATATATTTAAATCATCTTTTTTACTAAATGTATTTATTACTATATATTTGATTGTAGCAGATGTTGCTGGTAAAAATGGAATGCATATACATATTGTTGAGTAAAGAAAATTATTCAGTTGTTTGATGAATTTTAAAAAAACAAAAAAGCTCGGTCACCGGGAATCGAACCCGGATCAAAAGAACGACAATCTTACATGATAACCATTACACTATGACCGATTCACGATATGATCATTTATGATTATTTTATGAATTTTTCTTCCCGATTGGTATTATACTGAAGTAGTTCTTTTAGAGTCAATTATTATAAAACTAGCCTGAATTTATGTATCATTGTGGAAACAATACTATTCATTTCATTATGATCTTCCCCGATGGCAAATATTTTCTCAACTCAATCTTTCATAGTGCAATATTAAAACCACAATATGAATATGTATATATTCCTTCACTAACAGTTGAACCAACGGTTCAAAATTTGTCAATTTTATGGACTGATGAAGATCAAATTCAGAATATGGGTAATTCATATTAAAAAGTTGTAAATTTAGATTTATTTGATATGTACAGTTGAATTATGCACGAAACTTGCTTAAATTTTGAAGAAAAATTACGACATAAAAAAATTGGAAAGTTTGTGGCCTAGAAGTAGTTGGAAATGTTTGTCCCGATTTGTCAAATTACGTTTCATTGATTAGATTTAGTGAAAGTCGATGAGAATCAAATTTGTAAAAATTGGCATAATTTTTTATCCAAAATTACCTCAGTCCATAAATCGTAATATTTTGTAGATCAATTAAAAATGTCGTAATTCTAGTAAGATTTCTCTATCGATAAAAGTGAAGTGAACACTCGAATCTCTATAAATGGTCAATTGTATTCATCTCACATCCGTGGATTATATCTGTATACATGTTACAAAGATTATTATTTTGTATTTTTTAGATATTTCGAGGAGAAATCATTTTTGAATGTGAGCCAATTTTCAATGACTTCCCGACCACAGACTTTCACAATTTTTTGAGGGAACCTGTTTTGAAAATGTTCAAATCACTTTCACCTAAACATGGTTGTTAAGGTTGCTATCAATGGTTTCGGCAGAATCGGCCGTCTCGTCTTCCGCGCTTGCCGCAAGCTCTACCCAAAGGATGTCCAAGTTGTCGCTATCCACGATCTTGGTGACATCAAGACAAACGTTTACCTCCTTAAGTACGATACAGCTCACCGTGCATTCCCAGAGCCAGTCACAGTCGATGAGGCTAAGCAGGAATTCACAGTCGGTGAAGGCGCTGACAAGTGGGTAGTCAAGTCCATCGGTGGCCGCCTTGGCCCATCCCAGCTCCCATGGAAGGAGTTCGGCATCGATGTTGTCCTCGAGTCAACAGGTATCTTCCGTACAAAGGCCGAGAAGGATGCTGAAGGCAAGATCACAAAGGATGGTTATGATGGCCACCTTGTTTCTGGTGCTAAGAAGGTTGTCCTTTCCGTCCCATCTGCTGATGAGATCGAATGCACACTCGTTCTCGGTGTCAACGATGAAGATCTCAAGCCAGAGACAAAGTGCATCTCCAACGCTTCCTGCACAACAAACTGCCTTGGCCCAGTCGCTAAGACACTCAACAACGCCTTCGGAATCCGCAACGGCTTCATGACAACAGTCCACTCCTACACAAACGATCAGGTTGTCGCTGATACAATGCACAAGGATCTCCGCCGTGCTCGTGCTGCTGGCATGAACATCATCCCAACATCCACAGGTGCTGCTATTGCTCTTCCAAAGGTTTGCCACGGTCTCCCACCAAAGTCCCTCGATGGCTTCGCTCTCCGTGTCCCAACAATCACAGGCTCACTCGTCGACCTCACAGTCAACGTTAACGCCAAGGTCACAAAGGAGGAAGTCAACGCCGCCCTCAAGAAGGCTACAGAGGAAGGCTCCCTCAAGGGCATCATGACATACGTCACAGACCCAATCGTTTCATCCGATATCATCGGCTGCCAGTACTCCTCCATCGTTGATGCTCTCTCCACAAAGGTTCTTCCAAACCCAGAAGGCCAGGGCACACTCGTCAAGGTTCTCTCCTGGTACGATAACGAGTGGATGTACTCATGCCGCTGCGCTGATATCTTCCACCGCCTTGAGCAGTACCTTTAAACTACTTGCTATTTGATTTTACTAATTTTTATTCTTTTTCTCATGATTATCTTCTGTATATGCCTTGTAATCCTTTCCCTTTCTAGTTGGTTCATAAAATAGGAAATTATTCAAAAGATTGATTCCATTCTTAACGAAAGAAAGCTAAACACTTTATTTAATTAGATGAATGAAATCCCTTTTTATTGTGATTTCATGAGATCTTCTTGAAATTGGGCAAGGATACAAAGAAATGTCGCAAGATGAATGAAATGAAATTCGAAATTCTATTAAATTGATGTATGCTTACTGATATTGAACCATTTGATTCTTGAAAATTTCCAAAATTTTTTTGAAAAAGAAAAAATATTATGAAAAATTTTTTACAATTTATAATATTTTTGGCTTTTCCTAAAAAATTTGGAATTTATAAATAAGGCAGTATAAATTATATTATGTCTAACATTTAATTTTTATTAAACAATTCGACTCTACTATTATTTCCGATATCTTCCTTTTTATTCATTCTAAGTTTCATTGCTTTATCAACAGAATCCAATAAATATTCATGAACCAATTATTATCATATCAAAATCACAATGATGGGTTTTTTAGTGTCAATTTTATGTGATGCGTTGAATGCATTTAATGGGCCTTTTCCTTTCTGATGCAGCCGAAGTCATTTTGAAAAAGCTGATCGCAAAACAAGAAGAGATCAAGGAACTACAGCAGAAACTGAAGGAGTTACAAGAAGAGAACTCAAAGACCGTGGAGCAGAACCTTGTTTTAGACAATCATCCGAAAAACACAGGAATACCAGTCGCTCTTTGCGCAATGTACAGCAAATACCCAAACTGTATGCTAATACTTGATATATGCGTTCTACAACGGAAAATATCCAAAGTGAAAGAAGAATTAAGTCGTATTGATTTTAATGATGAGGAGTACGAAGAAATATCAAGCTTGAACAAGAAGCTTTTAAGACTCCAGCATGAAAAAGAAGATGCTCTTCAGGTGAAGAAAGATTACGAAAACGAACTTGAAGAATTGAAGAAAAATTATGAGGAAGAAAAGGGAAAATTAAGAAAAGAAATCGCTAATTACTCACAATAAAAGATAATTTTAAGGACATTTTTTACATTTACTTTTGATAAAACTGAACTCATAATAAAAATTAAGATAAACTAGAAAGTATGTAACAGTTAACGGTATTGGCCTGGATAAGCTCCTGGATAGCCTTGCTGTGGTGGGTATCCCTGTGGTGGATAGCCTGGTTGTGGCATTCCTGGCTTACCCATTGGTGGATAACCCTGCTGTGGTGGATAACCTGGTTGTGGTGGATATCCTGGCTGTGGAAGATAGCCTGGTTGTGGTGGGTAACCTGGTTGTGGAGGGTATCCTTGCTGAGGTGGATAGCCTGGCTGTGGGTATCCTTGTGGAGGATATCCTGCCTGTGGATAACCCTGTGGTGGATAACCTCCCTGTGGAGGATATCCTGCTTGTGGGTAACCACCCATTGGTGGATAGCCTTGTGGTCTTGGCTGGAATGGAGCCTCATTTGGAGCTGCCATATGGAGCTTGAGGTGGATATCACCGCCTCTCTTAACGTGTGGCATTGGGCGAAGGCTGTACCATTGGTCGACGATTTGACCTGGTCTGATTTGGCTGAGAGGAAGCTCAAGCTTACTCATTGGATCGTCGCATGAGACATCCTTATCCTTGATAAGAACGTGAAGAGTTCCGTTAAGGTCGTTAACTGGAAGTGAAAATTGCTCATTCCAGCGTGGATCGCAAGTATTATCTTTGTATCCTGTTTTGAGAATTCTGTTTGTTCCTGAAAGTTGAAGAACAGCATATGGATCACTCTTTCCGAATGTATCCATTTTTGCGAGGTTACGGGCTTCGATGACTTGGACGTGGAGAGTATACGACATTCACCAATAGTGATAGAAAAACCGTCAAATTTTAAATTTTATTTGATAAAATGATTTATACTAGTAATATTAATTATATTTCGGGAAAATTTTGCTGTTCAATTCAAATAACGTATCGTCAAGAATTTGCAACGGCGCCATCTATCACAAAGGTACTTAACAATAAAACATATTCGAAATTTCTGATAGTCTAGTAATTCAATATGAAAAACCGCTCTGAAAAATTTGGTCACTTAGCTGATGGTAAACATTTTTGAACATTCAATCATCTATAAAAATAATTGACAATCCTCTCAAAAGATCCTATTTTATTTGAAAAAACAATAGAAAGTGATTGAAAGCAGAGAGTTGAAAAGTATCCAATCACAACTGCAAAAATTACACCTGTAATAAACAGAAATTCATCAAAAGTGACAGCTATCAATTTTTTGACATTTGTAAATTCTAAATTGAATGAGAAAAATGAAATAATACTAAGCATAATACAATATTCTAGATTTAATTATAATTAGGAAAAAGTTAGTTTTGAGAGTACTTTTCATAGGCATATAGAATGAAATCTTCTGAAAAATAATATCACATAAACTCATATTATTTTCTAATATATAACTATTTTATATAAAAATCAAATTCAATGATCTTAAAAGCGAAGGATAAACCTCAAAATTTACGAATATAATGAGTGGGAATATAATGCTTATCTATCATAAAACCATATGAAATATCAATTTTTGCTTTACGCATAATTTTTGACGACAATTAGCAAAAAATGTTAAATGTTAACACTCAGTCCATTTGAATATGAAAAATAAAATTGACTTTGATTAAATGTTTTTATTTATCATGCAATTCTTCTTGCGACCAAAGTTTTGACTAAAAGTTCAAAAAATAAGATAGCTTAAAAAATAATATACGGTAGTGTTTACTAATAGATGAATAGTATATAAATTCTATTAAAATGGATTTGATCCAAAAAAATATATAAAATTTGATCATAAATAAAATTGTTTAGTAGTCATTTCAAATGATGTAATTATTCAAATTTTGCTAAGACCCATTCGTCTTTGATATATAACTCCCATTTTTGCATTTCTGGCTCGTACCAAAATTTTGAAACTTCGAATAATTCGTTAGGAGTGTAATTACTATTCGTTTTTGGATTAATATCGAGAGATAAATGTGGTGTATTGTTGTATTTTTCAATGAACTGCTGAACTGAGTCCTTGATTTGTTGAATATCATCCAACTCGTCTGGCAAAAACTTTTCTAAGCTTGGCCACAGGCGCTCCACCTTGCCGTTCTGTCTTGGCATATACGGCAAGGTGTGCTTCCAAACTATTCCGTTTTCCTGCATAACCTGGCCGAATTCACCGCGGTTTTCACCGCCGTTATCGGTCCAGATGCAGTAAGGAATAAACTCCTCTAAAAGTTTTCTTAAAACCTTCGCTGTTGAGTTGGAAGACTTGTTTTTCAATAATTTAGTTTTGAGAACTTTACGTGTCATATCATCCAATATGGCAAAAAATGGAAAAGAAACATTACCGTGAAGGTAATGAATATCGCAGTGCCATATCAAATTCTTTGATATGGCACGATATTTGGTAGGCGGATCTGCTGGTTTGTAATCTCTTTTTGAAGATAAACCTGATTCCATCATAAATTTTTCCACTTGATGATGCTTTATTTTTTGTAAATTGTCAAAATTTTGATCTTTTGTCAAATCTTCTATATTTTCAAATTCTTTTGCAATTTCTTCTTTTTCCTTCTCACAATCGGGATTTTGAGCAATATTTTGAAACCTTTTAATCAATAAATAAGTTTTTGAAATTCCTCCTTTATATTGTGAAACACAAGAATTAATTAATTGTTTTTGCTCAAATGTTGGTGGATTTGGTTTTCTGCCGCGACTAACTTTTGGTAATTCGATTTCTTGAAGTTGAAATGCTCTTCTTATTGTATTTTCGGCAACATTCAATTTAATTTTACCATTTTCCAATTCAACTTCCTTTCCCACACTTTTGTAAGATTCACCTTCTTCTATTCTTCTTTTAGCTTCAAATAGCCATTCTCTGCTTATAGATTTGGCAGTAGTCATAAAAGTGGTCCTTCTTTTGTGATAAGATTCAAATTTGAATGTGGATGAAAAAAAAAAAAAAAAAAAAAAAAAAAAAAAAAAAAAAAAAAGGTAGTGGGGCTTCCAGGCACTTCGTGCCCTCTAGCCCTGAAGATGTTTAGTATAAAATGAAAGTCTTTACGAAGAAGAACTTTACAAAACATAGACAAGAAAGTTCATGAGGAACTCTCAACAAAGTCTTTACGAAGAAGAACTTTACAAAGTCTTTACGATGAACTCTCAACAAAGTCTTTACGAAGAAGAACTTTACAAAACATAGACAAGAAAGTTCATGAGAAAGTCTTTACAAAGTCTTTACGAAGAAGTCTTTACAAAGTCTTTACGAAGAAGAACTTTACAAAGTCTTTACGATGAACTCTCAACAAAGTCTTTACAAAGTCTTTACAAAACATAGACAAGAAAGTTCATGAGAAAGTCTTTACAAAGTCTTTACGAAGAAGTCTTTACAAAACATAGACAAGAAAGTTCTTGACAAAGTCTTTACAAAGTCTTTACAAAACATAGACAAGAAAGTTCATGAGAAAGTCTTTACAAAACATAGACAAGAAAGTTCTTGACAAAGTTCATGAGAAAGTCTTTACGAAGAAGTCTTTACAAAACATAGACAAGAAAGTTCTTGACAAAGTCTTTACGATGAAGAACATTACAAAACTTCATCGTCAATGAGTGTAAATCAGACAAAAATAATGTTTAGGGTAGAAGGTTAGATATAACCTCTTTTCTAACCTCATTTCTACCCTCTTGAATTTTCATGAACTTTCTCAACAAAGTCTTTACGATGAAGAACTTTACAAAACATAGACAAGAAAGTTCATGAGAAATTAGACGAAGAAGTCTTTACAAAGTCTTTACGATGAAGAACTTTACAAAACATAGACAAGAAAGTTCATGAGAAAGTCTTTACGATGAAGAACTTTACAAAACATAGACAAGAAAGTTCATGAAAATTCACGAGGGTAGAAAAGAGGTTAGAAAACAGGTTAGGTCTAACCATCTACCCTAAATATATTTTGGGTCATTTACAAAGTCTTTACGATGAAGAACTTTACAAAACATTGACAAGAAATTGACAAGAAAGTTCATGAGAAAGTCTTTACAAAGTCTTTACGAAGAAGTCTCAACAAAAAATTGACAAGAAAGTTCATGAAAATTCAAGAGGTAGAAAGTGTCATATAAACATCTGTCAAAAACCGCTTTTTAACTTCACTTAAAATGCCACGTAAGCTACGTAAGAATATACGTAAGAGGAAGAGCATTGAAACATCCAATAGTAAAACTGACACCACAACAACAGTTGCAACAACAAATGATGAATGACCCCACTATGTTGCAACAAATGTCAAGCAACCCTATGCTTTTAAACCGAGTTCTTGGTGCACAGAGTGGAGGTTTAAGAGCGGCACTTTTAACGAAAATGGCAGGCTATGGTGGAGCTGCAGATGGAACAGCCTATAACCTCAAAGTCAAATGAATTTGAGTTCACTCAAAAATCAAATAACAGATGTCAAAAAGTCAAACATAGACATACAGAAGCAAATAAGTGAAAACGAAAAGAAACTAGAATATGACAGACACACAAAGAAACTCAATGAGTTAAACGTAGAGAAAAAGAAGAAAGAAGAACAACTGAAAGAACTAAGTACAGAGGAATATGCGAAAAAAGTGTCAGAAAAAGCAGCAGAAGTAGCAAAAATGGAACAAGATGTTATAAATTTGAAAAACCATACTACTCAATATAAAATACTGAAAGATGAAGAGATAAAACAAAAAGCCCTGAAGACATATATGGATAGCGATGAGTATAAAAAAGAAGTTGAAGCAAATGTAAAGGCAGAAAAACTTTTACAGTTGCAAAACCAAACCGTACAGTATGAAAACTTAGCACAAGAAAGTAAAAATAACGACGCAGCCATGCAAAAGGCAATGAAAAGCGCAGAATATATAAAAGCTAACAATGACTGGTTAGATGCCCAAGCCAACGCTAAAGCAGCCCAGCTTATAGGGTCAATAAGGACAAAAATACAAGCGGATGAAGACAGTTCAAATGAAGCTTTAACGAATGCTGACTTTAAGAACGCCTTCGAAGCTCTTCATAGTAAGGTGAAACAAGTGAACGACTTCTCATCTGGAAAGAAACTGAAGTCTGAAGGTTTCGACAACGAGTTAAGAGAAGTAGCACAAAATATGACGAAAATAACAGATGCAGCAACGAGACAGGCAGTTCAAAGTGCCTATGACGCCGTTAGAGCAACTGTTGTGAAAAGTCAAGAAAAAGAGTTACAACAGACCAAAACAGACCTAGTAAATGCTTTCTTAAAAACGAAAAGTCAGGTAGGACATTACGCTGCAGATGGAACATATGTGCCAGCTGGTGGAACTTATATACCACCAAACCCTCCAAGAGAAGCACCTGCACCAGGACTACCTAGAACATTTACATCGTCACATGGACATAGACACAGGCATGCACCAAAACCAACACAACAACCACCTCCACAACCAGCACAACAACCAACAGTTCAAAACCCTGCACAACAACCACCTCCACAACCAGCACAGCAACCACAAACAGAGCAAGGACATAAAAGAAGTAGAGAACAAGGAAACCAAGAATTCTTAAAAATGCTTAAAGAAGAGTGTGGTTTCCCAGATACTGTTGACTTTAGTGACAGATATAAAGAAGCTATTGGAAAGTTCAAGGATGGAAATACTGACCCGAACCTATTTAGCTTTATGGCTCAGCACCAAAACGGATATAATCTCAAACCTGGAAAATACAAGCTCGCTAAGGGATATGATTTAATAGCATATCATCCAAATGACATGATGAATTTACTCCGAGATATTTGATGTCAGAGCTAAATGACAATTCAACTTTCGTCATGAAACGCGTAAAAAATAGAGACGGAACGAAAGAACAAAAGCTTATGAATGCGGATGACGTAGATAGGGAAATTGTTGAAAACGGTCTCGGAATATATGAAATGCCAGCAGATGAGGTACAAGAAACTCCACAGGAAGAAGTTCAGATACAACCAGACATGGAAGAAATAGTTCAGCAACAACAGCTAGAAGAGCCTGAAGGAAACGAACAAGTCCTCCTTTGGAAACTAACTTCACAGAACTAGATGAAGATTTGGAACAGCCGAAAAATCTTGACCCTCAACAAGAGTATGCGGAGAATATGGAATATTTCCAAGAGTCTAAAAAAAATTCGGCTGACATAGTAGAAGAATATCGAAAAATGTTTGCCGACATACAAAAGACTCCAGCACCAGATGAAAATATTCAGCATAGAATGGAAGCACTGAAAGAAAATGTACACAAATACAACAACCCTTTTTACTTACGAGCATTTAACGTTCAATCTTCGGATGAACTCGGTGAAAATAAAAGGTTAAATTTCAACAAAACATATAGAAATGAAACATTGTTTAAAGTTCATTCAGAACCTAACCAATATGGAAACAAACCTACTTTTGTTTCTGCAGACTATGGAACTACAATGAGATGGGGTCATAAAGCTAATCCGGATAGGTGGTTCATAAACTTACAACCTCAATTCCAAGAAGTTGTAGACGCAATGGAAGTCAATGGTGAACGAGACATAGCTGGTATTTTAAGCGCGGCTTTAATGCCATTGAAAGATATGAAAGATGCAGATATTTTGGACCAGTATGAAATGAACATGGCTGATGGAAATATAACACCTGACGTTCTAGAACATTTATCTCAAAGAACTACACAGAACCATAGAGATGGTATATTTGGTGAAGAGTTTAGAAAGAAAGTTAGGGAGGAGAAGGAAGAGAACCTATTGTACATGACCTTGCAAACGAAAGTTTACAAAATGTCATAAAAACTTACTTTGCAGACAATGAACCGAGAAAGGATGAATATTTAAGAAAACTCAAATGGACAGTACCAAATGAAATGTTAGTATTGAAAAACATGTTCCTTGACAAAATAAAACCAACTACAGAAATAAACGACGCAAGACTGAAAGATTGGGTAAAAGCTTTCCCATTCACAAAAGATATAATTGGTAACATGGAAAGAAAACCAGAATGGCTACAAAAACATATATTTGGAAACGAGCATATTCCATATGGACAGGCACTGTTTGAAGAGCTTGAACCGGAAACTCAGGACAGAGTCATGCAAACAATAAGCGACGACTCAAATACAGACTATGACAAACTCTTTCTAGGATATAGGTTACCTGAGATGGGCGACCAGAGCCAAAAGGCAAAAAGGACATGGAAATTTGCAACATACTAGATGAACATAATGCAAAGATGCAACAACTTCAAGCAGAGGGCAATGAAGGAAAAAGAAGAGTTAAAAACTCAGTCAGGAAGAAAGTAAAGCTTGGTCGGAGTGGGTTCTATTATGACATATAAATCCAACTATTCTATATTTTTACTCATATGAAATGTACGCCGCTCAGAATATAACGCCAACAGTTTTGGATGCTATGAATGGAAATGTTTCCGAATGGTATAACGAATGCGACAATGCCATTAGAAGGTCAGAAATAGTTCCTGGAACTTACGAATATACAACTGCTGTTTCTTATGGAAACGTAGGTGAGTTTGGAGAAGGTTCTTCAACAACAGTAGATATTGCTTGCGACAGGTTTCATATAATTTCTATTGACAACTCTTTCTTATACGTGGAACAAGACATTGAAATAAAACCTTCTGCCAAGTTGTCTGACAAGAAAGGTTGCAATGGAATTTTCTATGTCGGATACCAATATGCTCCAGAAGTTTTCATGGGATATAAGATATATTCTAACTCTGACTTAGTTCAAACAGTAACATGGGCAAACTATGAATGGTTCGCTTTGAGAAACTCAGTACAACCACAAGCTAGAGAACAAACAGACCAGTATGCAACTATTGAGAAAATAAGAAGACTTGACCCTAACGTTCCAGGAGTTTATGTTAACCTTTCTGGACAAACTGCAGCAGCAGTAACCAAAGTAAAACTGAAACTTAGAGTTCCTTTGTCATCTTTCCTCATCTTCAGGTTTTTAAGATACTTGCCAAACTGGGCAGGAAAAATTTCTATCGAACTTACTCCAAGCAAAAATAACTTAGTCATTGCACCAACACAAGACCCATTCACTCTTACAGACGTAAAGGGAGCAAATCAAACGTCATTCGCCGAATTTTGCAAAGACAAAGTTGACTTAGACTTTGGTTTCTCAAACCTCAACACTGAAGTAAACTATTATTTCAATGCTGCTGGAACTGCTTGGGACCCAGTTAAGTTCACATGCGAAAAATTTGAATGCAAGAGAATAGAAAGCAGACTTGCAGTCTATATGTTGGACCCAGATATTTCAAATGCTTTAGCTGCCAAATATATTGCAGTTCCACTTATGTTCCCTATACACCAAATATCTGTCAAAGACTTTGCAGGTGAAGTTGGAAACCAAAGTGCTGACCCAGGTGCAAGAACAGATATTGCCTTAACAACTGCAATGAAACATGCAGATACTATGTTTGTACTGTTCAGACGAACTATAAATGACTATTCTTGCTTCTACAACCCTGGTATTAAATATCATATAAACATAGATGGCAAATATTATCCAAGAGAAGAATATTCTACAGTTGAGGATATGAGGTCATACAACTTGACATTAGATGCTATGAACTTTAACAACAACTTCACAACAACCATTAACCCTGAAATGCAAAGTTCTATTATGCCATATGTGAAAGTATGGACTCATACAGGAGGTCAAAAAACTCAATATACAAATGGAGACCGTTCAAACTTTTGGCTTGGCATTCCATTTGCTGACTCAGAAGACTTTATGGGTGGTATTTCAACTGTTGGTACTGTACAAATACAATATACTGGTGACAGAGATGGTCCAGATGAATTGAAAGCAAAGAAGTTTACAAAACCAATAGCACTTTTCACGGAAGATGCTCTTTTGAAGATTCGTTCGATGAAACCTGCTGGGGCTCCTCAGATTGGCATAACGACAGCTTCCATCGAGCAGATTTTGGCAGCAGGTCAGTAAGTTGTTCTTGAACTGACTTCTCTCCGTCAAATATTGACAGTACGCCAGTTTTGACATAGTATTGTATTATAAACTTACCTTTAGAAATATCGGTCAGTTTTGTTGTTATATTTTTGTCAACGTCAAGAACTTTCACCATTTCAGTTATACCAACTTTCTTTGCTTTATGGAAATATTTAGGTTCAGCAAAGACTGCTATTCTATAACATTTTCCATTGTTTGTATAAAGAACTATTCTGTCAATGTATTTGTACTGTTTGTGTGTGTAAACTTTGTTTTGCTTCAATTCAAAGAGATACTCAAATACGTCCATCTTTTTATTCTAAGTAAAATGTCATTTCCGAAAAATAGAAGCGTAAGTGTTTCAAAAGGTTTAATGGCGGTGGCAGATGTGAAGTTAAATTCACCAACTCAAACAAACAGTCAAAGTGTTGTTGTCAATGTCAAAGAAAGAGATGTTGAAGTGGGGAAACCATACGAAGACGAAGATGGTATAACAATAGTTCCTGTAAAAGAACAACCAACATACCCTGAAGTTAGCAGAGACTTAAGTTCTGTTGCAGATATTCGAAACGACTACCAACAACTTAAAGACAAACTTAAAACTCAGGAGAAGATTTGTCAAGCTTTAGGTCTAATGTTAAACTTGGTCGAACACAACCCTGTAAAAGTGAACTCATATGTCATCGCACCTCATGAAATTTTGAAAGAACTATTGAAACTTTTGACAGAGGCAGACGATATAAACATCAAAGAAATCGAACCCGACATTGCTTGCTGTGGTGTTTCATATAATGTCATTGACAAGATATACGTTATGAAAGGAGGTGAAACGTTGAACTTAAAATATAGTTTCCCAGACGTCATAAAAATATTTGACGACCACAACATTTCATTAAAATTTACTTGCTAAGTAAATGGCAGAAGACATAGTGGTTTATACTATTACGACTAAAAACCCTGAGTCATATAATTCTATAACAACAAACTTACAAAGTCCTCAAGGACGATATTGTAAACTGACCTTAAACACGATGACGACTAAAGCCTGTTTTGCTCTTTTGACACCAGAAGACTTTGTTGTTGTGAATGGTAAAAAATACTTCTTTGAAGATACTTACTCAGATATACCACCAACAGGTTTTGTTGACTTATTTAATACTTTAAGGACGGATGTAACATGTGCTGCAACTAGAGCAGGTTTCATTATGTTTGGATGTCCGACTGAGTTTAGTATAAACGATATGAGCTATAATACAAAACTTATATCTGGTTTTTACTACCAACAGTTTCCTATAACAGGAAAAGGTGTCATACAAGGTTTGTCTGTTCCATTGACTTTAAGTACACCTATTTTATATATTGTTTCAAACTTAGGTTCAAAGTGCTATTCGAATGTCGACAGAAACTACTATGACCAAAAGATACTCATGCGTATAAACAACACTTTCTCTGCTGGTTTGCCTATTGTTCATTCGAATGCAGAGTTTTCAGCTTTAGTAAACTCAAACACTTTAGCAAACATAAACTTAACCTTAGTTGACGCAAACTTTGTTCCTGTAAAACTTTTATGTCCTATGTATTTGTCAATGACGGCAGAAAGTTTCGAATTGGAAGATGCAACTGGTGAAAGTATTGTACTACAAGAACAACTTCAACAACAAATAGCTCAAGAACAACAAATGCAACAAATGGAACAAATGCAACAACAAAGTCAAGAATAAAAAAAATATTTTTTTTATTTTTATAAAAATGTACAGAATAGACGTTTCAGATTTTTATGACTTCCAAGCGTTCAGAAATATGTGTCCATTTAGAGACTATAACAAAGCAGTCGAGAATTTGAAACGTTTAGTCATTTATGTCGACTCTGCCCCAGAATGTTATGTCATGAAAGAATGGGATGTTGTCTTTAACAAACCAAGAGCAACCATAGTTTCAGAACAAGAATGTAGACAGAAACTTAAGAAAATAAAAGTTGTACAAGTTGGAATGAAGATGTTAGATGCTTGGGATATCTTATTGTCAAAGTTAGAAGATTTTTCAGTTCGAGGTATAAAGTTCTATACACCATCTCCAAACTTCTATTCTATCTTCACTGGATATAAATACGAACAAGTAGAATGGAAAGAAAATGTTATAGAAGCTTGGTTAGACCATGTCAAAGAAATTATATGCAATGGAAACGAAAGAGTCTATGAGTATATCTTATGTTGGTTTGCAAACATCTTACAACATCCAAGTGCTAAAAATGAAACTGCTCTCATTATAATTGGAAAACAAGGAACTGGTAAGAACACTTTCTTTACAGATATCTTATGCAAACTGTTAGAAGGTTATTCGAACCCGAATATGACAAACTTAGAAAACATCTGCGGTAAATTTAACTCTTCAATAGAGAATATGAAACTTATAGTATGTAACGAACTTCAAAGTATAGATACAACAAAGGTTTTAAACTCAGATGCTTTGAAGAGTCTTATAACAGACAAAGTTGGAGTTGTTGAAAGAAAATATAAAGACCAAAGAGTTTGTGAAAATGTTGCAAATTTCATCATGGTTTCAAACAATGTTGTTCCGATGAAGTTAGAAAGTTCTGACAGAAGATATGTAGTTGTCAGAACGTCAGAAGCTCATATGCAAGATACAGAATATTTTGACGACTTAGCAGAAACTTTGACACCTAACTTTTACAACCACTTGTTCTCATATTTCATGACATTAGATATTTCAAAGTTCAATCCAAGACAAATTCCACATACCGAAGAAAGACAAACATTGTTAGAAGCAAACAAGAGTGTATATGAACTGTTTATAGATGAGACTAACTTTGAGTGTTTAGATGAAAGGTCTTTATATGATGAATATAAACAGTATTGTCAAGAGTATGGTTATATGGCAGCGTCTAAACGAACATTCTTGGCAAATGTCAAAAATCTTTTCGAAGTTCGGAATGGCAAATATAGAAAGAAATAATTTTTATGAGTAAATTTTAAAAAAAATATTTTTTTATCCGATAGAAAAGATGACGAAATATATTTCAGTCAACAAGTACATGACAGAAGTCAAAGAAGAACTAGACCCATTCGCTTATTTGAATGTTTACTTCTACCATTTTGAAAAGTCTACATTTGACAAAGTTTGGAACATCGAACCAGTTAAGTTTGCTATTGTGACTAAAAATGGTGCGAAATTTGAAGACTTAGACATAGAAGGTTTGTTAGCAGTCAAAGAAAATTTTGACAGAAGGTTCTCAAACCTTAAAGAAGGCAAAGCATACAAACTTGTTATACCTTATGAACCAAAGAAAGCAGACGACTATGAATATTATGAGTCTAAGATAGTTGAAGTTCAAGGTAAATTGGGTAAAAAGATTTTAGAGTCTAAGCCAGTGTTTGCTCCTAAAGAGGAAGAGAACATTGACATTGACCCAGAAATGTTCTAAAAATAAAATTTTATTTTTACATGTCAAATTTCTTTTTCTCTGGCTCTGGCTCTGGCTCTTTCTTCTCTTCTTCTACTTTCTTTTCTTTCTTCTCTCTCTTCTTCTTCTTCTCTGGTGGAGTTATGTCAAACTTCTCAGAACCATATTTTTGTAAAAGTTCTTTGTCCTTTAATAGCTCTTCTATTCTGTTTCCTATTTCATCTTCAAGAACAGCGCATGTGTCTTCTTTGCATTCTAAGAACTTTTGTTGGACTTCATCTTTCCAATCGGCGTCATCTCTGTCAACAAGTCTGTCATTGACAAATTTTAAGACTGCTCTTTGTAATGTTTTATGGTTCTTGTCATATTCCCAGAAACAGAACTTTAGAACAAATTCACCTTTCTTGTTTACACTATGTAAGATTTTATGGTCGACAGATGTTTTGCTGTCAAAAAGCTTGTCTCGAATATAGATAGCGAAATCGCTAGACATTTTCAAAAAGATAAAAATTTTAATTTTTCTAAAAATATGTTAGAAAAAAAGTTTGCTGACATTGACAAGAAATTTGAGAATGTTTTAAACAAGAACAAGAGGAAGTTAGAAAATGCTCAGATAAAACCCATACATGACAAGTTCTTATTTGCTCAGAATGGTATAACAGGTCTAATCGCACCACCTGGGTCGGGTAAGACTTTCACTTATCTTAAAATGGCTGCACAACAACAAGAACTAGATGAGAAGAACCCATTCTATGAGTTAGTAGTCATTTGTAGTACTTCTGGTCAATTTGACCAAACCGTAAATTCGTTCAAAGATATTATAAAAAAGTCTAAGTTAGTATGTATAAAAGACTCTGAGTTGTTGGATTGGATAAAGAAGTACCAAAGAAGAGTTTTGAAGTACAATGCTATAAATGAGTATATAAATTCTAAGTTTAAAGACCCAAATGAGGAAATGCAGAGAATATTAGAGAAGAAACACTTCAGAAACAAACAGAAAGAGATAGAATACATTTCGAAGAAATTGCAATCTTACGATTGGAAGACTTACCCTCATAGATGTCTTCTTATCTTAGATGATTTCGCCTCTCATCCTTTGTTAAAGAACAGAGAACAAGATATGTGTCGAATTCTTAAGAAGCTCAGACACTTTAACATCTCAGTTGTCATTTGTGTACAGACAGCAAAGAGTTTAAGTAAGGATGTTAAAAGAATACTTACTGATATCATACTTTTCCCTGGATTGTCCGAAGACGATTTCATGGAACTTATGAAAGAGTCCATGGCAGGTAAGTTTGACAGACATGAACTATGGGAGAAGTACAAAGTCATACAAGACCCTCATACTTCTTTCAGAATTCACATCTACGCGAACAAGTTCAAATTGTAAAAAGTCAAGCTTGAAAAATGTAAGTGTTTAGTCTTAGTCTGTTGTGGTGCTGGGCTGTCGGTTCTTCTGGCTTTGGAAGACATTCAGGAAGAGGAACGTCAGTCCTCCGTTTGTGTCCTGTCGGAAGGAAGAACTTTTTCTGTCGGAAGGAAGAACTGTTTCTGTCGGAAGGAAGAACTGTTTCTGTCGGAAGGAAGAACTTTTTCTGTCGGAAGGAAGAACTTTTTCTGTCGGAAGGAAAAACTTTTTCTGAAGTTCGACCAAAAAGTTCTCAATTTTCGAAAATTTGAATGGTTTACGGACGAACAACAGGAAATTTTTTTCCAGTTGTCAGGAAATTTTTTTCCAGTTGTCGGGAAATTTTTTTCTTGTCGGAAGGAAGGACTCGGAATGCCAGAAGGAAAAACTTTTTCTGTCGGAAGGAAGGACTCGGAATGCCAGAAGGAAGGACTTGGAATGTCGGAAGGAAGGACTCGGAATGCCAGAAGGATTTGACAAGACAATTTACTTTATAGAGCTACCCGAGCCATCTTTGGTGTCAAGCTTGAAAAATAAATGGTTCATCTACCCTACTTGTTTGAAGTTGTCAAAATACTCTGTTATTTTTTCCTTTAACAATGGCAAATCTTCTTTGAATGTAAGTATTGTACAACCTTTCATATCATAGTGTGTTTGAGGTAACGTATCTTGAACTATTTGTTTCACATCTTCATTCGGTGTCATTGAAATCGGTAAGTTTTCGCGATAGAACCAATTTCTGTCAGATTTGTAAATCTTAGCAAGGTCGTAAAAGCTTTTGTTGTTCTTCTGACTAAATGCAACATAACCATATCTTTATTCTTCATTTTCCATCTCTTCAGTATAAATCATATACTTATAGTTCTTTTCCTTTCCTTTTGGTACCGAACGTGGTATTCTTTTCTGAATGCTTTTGTCTTCTTTCATCATATCTTCTCTCTGCTTTGTACAAAGTTCGTCAAGAAGTTTACAAACATACCATGCATAGCGAGGCGAAGCCCACATTGCTATTGAACTAACTAGGAACTTATGAACATATATACCTTTTAGATGCGATGGTAAGTTTTGTCTGTCTTGGTACATCTTTTTAAGTTCTACATGTTCAAACTCACTGAGGAGTTCATGAGTGCTATTTAATTCAAACCAGTCTTGTGGTTTTAGTATCTGGTGCAAAACATGCTGTCAAAATACTTTGCATTTGGTACATATCGTCTTTGACCGAACGAATGAGACGGAGTTGTTTGTTAAACTGAACCCACTCATATTCTTCATTTATAGCTTCATGGACTATAACTGTTGTTGTGTTCTCTGTTGTTGACATATCTGTCTTTACATACAAAATAAAAAAAATATTTTATAAAAAACTAACTTTATTTTTTCTATCTTAAGGAAATTCACTGTTTTCATAGAGTTTTGGCGACCCCGAAGGAAGTCGGTCTAGAGAAATTTCACTGTTTTTCGTACGGAATCTCTATCCTCGGTTTTTCGAGGGTAGCAATCTTATGCCATTTTACTCAGATTTTTGTGCTGAATTCAATAAAAATATATTTTAGGGTAGAAGGTTAGATCTAACCTGTCTTCTACCCTCTTTTCTACCCCAGTTATTTTATAAGCGTTTTACATGGTAAACGTTATTTTTACATGTATTTTTCAGCAACTTCGTCAAATAATTTTATAGCTTTATCTATCTCATCTACTTCAAACGTTTCTTTACCTTTATGGGAGCACCATACATTTTCTCAAACTTTTCAAGTAGTTCTGTTTCTGCAGCTCTCATATCATTAACTAACACAACCTTGACTATATTGACTGTACTGTCATATCTTAGAGTTATATTATATGTCCTTCCTATCTTATATCTCTTTGTATTGAAGTCCTTCGGTTTCTGAACGATGTAAAGTAAGCCTTCACTGCAACGTTCTGAGTCGAATAAACCATATGTTATGAAGTTATATCCAACAACTGGGTCAATCCATAACAAAACTATTGGTATAAGACTTTTGTCTATAAGATATGCTGTAGTTCCATAGAATCTTACCGATATCATAAGCTCAGGATTTCTTGTCAAAATTTTCTGAGTAGAAGCAATTCTAACCCAGTCCTTTGCTTTCTTTCCAGATGGAGATAAAATGTCTGACAAAGAATATTTGTTGTATTTCTTTGAGTATCTTACGTTTAAATCACCTATTCTAACCACTTTGGTGTCATTGTCTATCTTTCCAACTGTTTCAAACTCATTGTTTGACATTTCTGTCTTTAAGTCTGCATAGTCGTTTCTCATTCTTTCTATCTCTTTGACGGAGTAGTTATATCTCCTCATTGCTGCTTTACATTTAGAACATTGCGGGTTCATTTTTGCGTTATATTCT